CAAGGACTAACAATCAACATGTCATCCACATAAATTACAAGAAATACAGGCACAGAGTCTATATTCTTATAATACAGGCAATGATCAGCAGAACTCCTTTTAAACTTTAAAGATTGCATGTATTTATCAAATCTAATATTCCATTGCCTAGGTGATTGTTTTAAACCATACAAAGCCTTTTTTAACAAACACACATGATCAGGCAATTTAGGGTCCACAAAGCCCTCAGGTTGGTGCATATAAATATTTTTATCAAGATCACCATGCAAGAAAGCAGTAGTTACATCCATTTGTTTTAATTCCCAATTAAAATGAGCAACTAAAGCAAGCATAATTCTAACAGTAGTGAATTTGACAACAGGAGCAAAAATTTCAGCATAATCAATTCCCTCCTTTTGAGTAAATCCCTTAGCTACTAACCTAGCCTTAAACCTAACACTTTCAGATTCTTGTTTCACCTTAAACAGCCACTTACAGTCCACTACAGAACAACTAGCAGGTTTAGGAACAAGTTTCCATGTTTGGTTAATTTTTAGGGATTCCATCTCACTCTTCATAGCACTAATCCATTCTTCAGAATATTTTGACCTTAATGCTTCTTTATAAGTCTTAGGTTCATTGCACTCAAGGGATTCAAACACATTAAAGGCAAACTCAGACATATTACAATCAATCAAATTGCAATCTCTATATCTTTCAGGTTTCCTAATGGTTCTTTTATTTCTATCCCTAGTGAGTTGATAATCATTCAAATCATGCATGTTATCTATTTCCTGCATATCATGCTCCACCTCATTTGGAATAATCTCATCTTGATTTTCAATAATTATATCATTCAATTTTTCTTCAGGAAATGATTTGGGTTGATTAATAATAGGCTTTTGCTCCACCTCATTTGGAGCATCATTTTCAGGAATAGGAACATGTAAAGGTAAACAAGGAAATTCATTTTCATTAAAGACAACGTCTCTGCTTATCACTACCTTAAACCCCGGTTCACTCTTATTCCAAAGCCTATAACCTTTTACCCCTTCAGGATATCCTAAGAAAACACATTTCTTAGATCTAGGTTCTAACTTATCAATCTTTTGATGCACATAGCCAGCACTCCCGAAAATTCTCAAATTATTTAAATCAAGAGGTTTGCCCGTGAACACAAATTCAGGGCATTTCCCTCCTAAGGGAACAGAAGGAGACCTATTAATCAAATAGGCCGCAGTACAAACAGCTTCTCCCCAGAACTTCTTGGAGAGCCCAGATGTGGCCAACATAGCCCTCACCCTCTCTAAGAGAGTTCTATTCATCCTTTCAGCAACCCCATTCATTCTGCTGGGGTGTATAGGGAACAGATTTATGCCTTTTAATACCCCAAGTAGTACACAAATCATTCAATTGTTTGTTACAAAACTCAAGACCATTGTCTGTCCTAAGAGTTTTAATTTTCTTTCCCGTTTGGTTTTCAATCATAATTTTCCAGTTTTTAAATTTATCAAAAACTTCAGATTTTTGTTTCATGAGTAAAACCCAAACTTTCCTAGAATAATCATCAATTATGGAAAGAAAATATTGGTTCCCTCCATGCGTAGGCACACTAGAGGGACCCCACACATCAGCATGCAAATATTCAAGTACACTAGTGCACTTAGACTGATTAGGAAAAGAAGAAGTAGGAAAAGTAACCCTGTGTTGTTTTCCTAGCACACAAGATTCACAGAAAGGGATGGGGGATATTTTATCACTACCAAAGTGACATTCTGTATGCAAAATTTCTAATCCTTTATTACTCATGTGACCTAATCTATTATGCCATAAAACAGATTTATCACCTATCACAGAGTTAACAGAATCAAGCACAGGTTCAGCATGACAAATATACAAATTGTTTTGTTTTTCAGCAGTAAAAACAACAAGAGACCCTTTTTGAATTTTCATAACCCCTTTACCCCATTTTCCCTCCAAACCATCATTTTCTAGAGATGCACAAGAAATCAAGTTATAACGTAAATCAGGAACATGCCTAACATCCTTCAAAGTAAACACAGAACCAGAGGAAAACCTAAGGCATACATCACCAGTTCCTAAAACATTGCATTTCTTTTCATTTGCCATTGACACAAAGCCATTCTCTATTTTCTTGTAGTTTGAAAACAAAGTTTTAAAAGGAGTCATATGAAAAGTATAACCAGAGTCTACCAACCAATCTGATTTACACAAAGGATTAGATAACACAGAGTTCAAATATGCATAATCACACATATTATTAATCATGAAAGTCTCACCCATTTTGCCCTCACAGACAGCCATATTAGCATGTTCATTTTGCTAATTTTTCTTAGGCTTAGGACAATCTTTAATAAAGTGACCAGTTTCATGACAATTATAGCATTTTTTAGCTTTAAACCTGGACTTAGATCTACCTCTTCCATTTTCAAATTTTTTCTTACTTGATTCCCCATTACTAGCATTCTTTTGGTAATTAGACCTATTCTGAGGCCTACCCCTCACATGCATAACCTCACCAGAATTTTTATTTCCCCCAGAATGTTTTAAATCTAATTCCTTACTCTTAAGACCATTGACCACAACATCAAGGGTAACCTCATCTCTACCATATTTAATAGCAGATTTCACATCACTATATGAGTCAGGAATAGCATTTAGAAGGGCAATAGGAGTATAATCATCTATATGTTTATCACCAGTTAACTTAATATCTGAAATAAGTTTTGTGAAAACATCTAGGTTCTCCTCAATGTCCTTAGACATATCCAATCTAAATTTGAAAAAATTTTCAAGCAAAAACATTTTACTGGGCAAAGAGGTTTCAGTATAGAGTTCTTCAAGTTTATCCCAAAGAGTTTTAGCACAGTCCAAAATTCCAACTTTTCTAATCACAGAGTCAGATAAGTTCAAATAAATTGTGGAACAAGCATTTTCGTTCATTTCCGCCCGTTTATTTTCAGTGTCAGAGGTTAAATAAGTCTGACCAACAGCCCTAACGGACTTCTGTTGAATTAAGATGCATTTTATTTTTTGTTTCCAAATGCTAAAATCAGATTTTCCGTTGAACGGAGCCATACCATATTGAATCATACTATATTGATTAGCAGCAGACATTTTTTCACACAGAAAAAAAACACACAAATGTTAACTTCAGCAGATAACCGCAGTGGGATAAAAAAAAGGTTTTTTAGCAGATAAATTTCAGCAGTTAAACGCAGCGAATTAACACAGATAATCTTGAAGATTTACTGTAATTTTCAACAATTACAGCAATTTTCAACAAAGTCAAGAGCATATACTGAAATTTTCAACAAAGGCCAGAGTATACCTGAGCGAAACCCACTGTAGAGAGTTTCGACCTTACCCACGCCCACGCGGTGGTCCGGCGGCGGTCCGGCGTCTGTCCGACGGTGTCCAGTGGCGGTCCGGCGGTGTCCAGCGGCGATCGGCGGCGGTTTTGAAGCACAGCGACACTAACCTTGCTCTGATACCACTGTTGAGGATCTGCGATGTCGTTTGGCTCAGAAACCTGTTCAACCAGTCCTCGTTCTCCTCTCTAGTGCACCACCAAGGACCAAAAGGGGAGATCGCCGATCTCCTTCACCAGTCACTCACAAAGAGGATCGCAGAAAGGGGGTGAGAGCACAAAGCTCACAGGAGCACAAAACTCACAGAAGGAGGGAGATTTCACACAGCAGAGGAAAGCTCAAGCTCAGGTTTCTCCTCGCTATCTCTTCTTCCTTTTTCTCCTCTACCGAGCTACTACCAACCCATTACCCATATATAGGGATGGGGGCTGCCGACAAGGGAGAGGAGCTAGGGAAGAAAACGAAGGAGTGAGCCGACCTACGGATGGGAGCTCACAAGCGGCGGCCATCAGATCACGAAGACTGGGAGGTGAGAACCATCGGGTAGGAGAAGAAAATAGAGGGGCTAGGGCACATCAGATAAATGAAGTTGGAACTGGGCTTATTGGTAACAGGCCATCTTATTTGGGCCAACACAAATAACAACATAACCAAACTGATCAACCAAACTGATCGATCTCAAAATGATTCTCTAAAAACTCACGTTTTTTCTAGTGAAAAGATAATTTATACTAAATTTTTATATATATGTTAATTGCTAATGTTCGGTTTTAGTTTTAAAAGTAGTTCATTTCATGAATTTACTTCAACTTGAGATAGGAAATGAGTGAGAGGGTTAAAGAAGTAAAAGCATAGTTAAAAAACCTCTAACTATGCATATAGATATGCCCAAGCCGAACCCATCGAATCAAACCGGGCCGAACCCATTTCATTCGATTCGGTTCGGTTTTTAATCCGGTTCGATTTGATCAAAACCGTTTGCTCACCTCTAGTAGCTTTGGCTAATTTTTCACAAAATTAAGTTAAAGAAATAAAACTCTCACGCAAACATCTCGACTTATCCTCCCAATCAACTGGGGATGAAATTAATCAAATTTTACATTCGCAAGGTAAAAGAATCATCGCTTTACACTACTAAATATTGAGGCATTCTAGACGAAAAATTCCGTCTAGGATACCTAGAATTCTGTCTAGAATGCGTATCCTAGACGGAATTCTGTCTAGAATACGCGTCTAGTATGTTTCCGTCTAGGATATAGTATTCTAGACGAAAATTCCATCTAGAATACATTCTAGATGGAATTTAAAACCATCTAGAATACATCCTAGACAGAATTTCCGTCTAGAATACTACATCCTAGACGGAAAAAATTTCCGTCTAGGATGAGTATCCTAGTCGGAAATTTCCGTCTAAGATAGTCATCCTAAACGGAATTTCCGTCTAGGATGTTTTTTAATTTTTTTTAATTAAAAAAAAAAAGTATCCTAGACGGAATTTGAGCATCCTAGACGGAATTTCCGTCTAGGATGCTATGCTACAATAGTTTTTTTTTTGGAGAATCTACTTTGAGTGCATGTACACAATATTGAACAACAAAAAATTATATTCATATCCAACATAATAGTTAATTATATTCCAATATCAAATCCAATTATAGTCAAATAATACATTCACCAAAATAGTAGAGAGATACATAAATTATTTACAAACTTTTACATAAATTATTTACAATGGCTATGACACTGCAGAAGCTTGTTCACCTCCTTCCCTATACATTTACTCAAGCCCTCTTCTTCTCCTTCTTCACCTTCTTCATCATTGGCTATAACCATTCTGTGTATCAACCTCTGTATAACAATCTTACACGGACACTTCTGTGTATCAACCTCTATAAATATCAAAAGCTTGTGAATGGAATGTCCAATTGAAATAAACGCTCAATATGGCTAATCAAACTAAGCGAAAAATTTCATAATATAATACCTTGCATACTTCAGTATTGAACTTTATCCTTGCATACTTTCCAATATAGTTGCTGGATAATTTTTCTTGCCTTCTTGAGCGTGATTTCCCATTAATCCACCACTAGAATTGAATTCTTCGGTTGATGGACCTAAACAAAATAGGTAGTGGTCTTAAACCTTCGTAGAGAAGAAAAAAAGAAATACATGCAACTCACAAACACAAGTGCACAGACAAAACCTCCATCATCATATATTTACCCATAGGAAAAAATAAACATGATATGAAGTGAAATGATGTACAAGTATTCTCATGTACTGATGCTCAGAAAAACTCATTTGACATTTTGCAAAGGAAAATCTAGAAGCATAAATGAAAAGCATGAATACCACTTGTTACAAATGCTTTGGAAACCACTGAATTATTCATACCTATAGTGGTTCCTTTTTCTCCAAGATTTGCAGCTCCCGGCATGGATTCAGATGAATCTCTAGAATCTGTTTTAATTTCTGCAAGCAATGGAGTTCCCGGTATTATAAAAAAAATGTTAGTAACTAAAATTGTTGGATTGATAAATTACAGTAACCATAAAGATAACGTTTTGTGCTTTGTATGTACAATGTTATCGTTTGTAATGCATATCAAATCTTGGACAGTGATAAAGCTACATGTGTTACAAATTTAAGTGAGAAAGACGAGTAACATCAGAACTGGAAGGGTGTGGACAACAATAAAGTTGTCTACTAATTTTTTTCCTTTTGAATCCTGGGTGTTGAATGTGTATACGATTAAAAGGATTTATACTCCCAGGCAGCATTTTCCACTAGGTAAATGAAAGTGTTTACTATGGGGAGCTGCTTAGTTCCAAGCAAGTTTCACACAAATTACTCAGGATGTTAGACTAATAACATTGTCCTGGAACTTAAATAACAAAAGGGAAAGATGACTTGTTTTTTTAATTCCTTTTCACTTTCCCAAGTAGAAAACCTGCATCTCCTTCACAGTCAATGTTCACAGTTAATTTAAGTATCAAATAATCAAAACTAACTTTTAGATATGATTGGAAAAGAATTGATTAATCCTATCATTGTAAAACACATGTAAATAATATGCTCTGTAACTAGTAACTTAATACATGACAAATTCCTTTAAAAAATAACACGTTTAAATTGAAATGCTGATGAGGGAAAGCTGAGATGGGTACACAACATTACACTAAAGCATAATAGTTAATTTCTACGAATACAGAGACTAATTCAAATAACAATAATATGATAATCATTTGAGATGATATGAAGATTTTATGGAAACGCCAAAATATCCACTTCTTATTTGGAGCAATAGGACTAAACAAGGAGCTGATCCCCAGAATATAGGGTAAAGGCAATATTGTTGATGTTGTTGTAGGTTGTAACAGTAAGATATGAAGAAAAGATTACTCCTCTATCTACAAAAAAATAATAGCACTTTTAAAGTACACTAAAATCAATAAGATAAACAGTAAGTGTACAGTCCAATATAAGGAAACCACAGCAGATAGAAACCTCCAAAATTTTGAATAGAAACGGGCACATTCTTTACGGAGATGCATCTTCCGACAGTTTTTGACTTTATAATTTCAAAATTCAAAAAGAAGTATGAAAAACTTACTGGCTTTGGTACCTTCATTGTTGCTTGAACCAGATCCAAAAAGAGAAGAAATCTAGTTACCCCTCTTTGCAGGTTTCTTTTCTCGACTTTGAAGGTCTTTGCTAGAAACCTAAGCCAGCTGATATATCTCAACAGGTGTTTGCTACTATCAACGTCGACATAGACAAGTAGGAAACATAATGCACAATAGTTTCCATATAAGCCCATTCATGTACGAGAATTGGCAGTCAAGTCAAAGGTAAAATAAGCTTCTGGTCACATATGAAAAGAGTCTATCTATTAAGTGTGAAGTATACCCTTCTGTTTGAACCACTAAGATAACAAAATCAAGGGGACATATATATACCTGTTGGAATGAAAAAGCTGAAGCAAGATAAACATCTGAATACTGTCCTATCCTCATGATCCACCATTTCAGTTGGAGCAGGACTAGGTTTAGGAACATGTGGCACTTTCTGAGGTGGCAAATCACTTTGAGTCAAACTCATACTTCGATTCTAATTGTTAAAATAAAAGCCATAATCAACATATTGGAGTTTGCTGTCAACTGCGAAGTATAGTTAGAACCTAAATGTTAGAACCTAAATGTTAAGAGGCATTTCGTCGAACACCCTCCTGGCATCCAGGGGGAGCCCGAACTTGAAGTACATGTCCTCGATGGCGAAGGCGACGTAGACGTCGAGGATGAGGCAGTGGATCTGGGAGGCGACGAGGGGGTCGGGGAGGGAAGCAGAGGCCTTGAGGGTGGAGGGGAGAGTGAAGTCGTAGGGGCGGGCGAGGGAGCGGAGCATGGAGCGGAAGACGGAGAGGGAGAGGAGGGGGCTGGAGTTCTGGGAGGCGCCGGAGATGAGGGCGGTGAAGTAGGGGACGGAGGGGGAGGGCTCGAGGGAGAGGAGGCGGAGGGCGGGGAGGGGGAGGTCGAGCTTCGAGTAGAAGTTGATGAGGTTGCTGGTCGAGAGGAAGGACGGGAGGAGGCAGGGGAAGAGGGACTTGAGAGCGACGGCGTGTGCGGAGCGGCCGAGGAGAGAGGAGGGGGTGGAGATGGCCCGCTCGATTTATGCTTCTTTAGAATAAAATTTCGATGTTGGGGGAAAGATGAGCGACAAAATTTTGGGGGAAAAAGGGGGCGGTGAAATTTTGGTGGGTTAAATTTTTTTAAAAATGGATATCGTATCCTAGACAGAAATTTAAGTCTAGGATACATTCTAGACGGAAATTTCCGTCTAGAATAGTTAGTTAATTTTTAAAAAAAATTAAAAATAAAAAATCGTCTACTTTACTATTCTAGACGGAAATTTCCATCTAGAATATTTTATTCTAGACGGAATATTCCAGACGAAAATTTTCCGTCTAGTTTAATACAAACTAGACGGAACAATTTTCGTTTAGAATAATCCGTCTAGGATACGTGATTTTTTACTAGTGTTACGAAAGTTTCAATAAATGTATGTAATACTGAAATTTATCTGATGTTATATTAATCATGATCTTTTGTGTTATGGAGGAGCAAATAAGTTTGCATTAATAAGGTTCATGAGTGCAAACGTTTCTACAAAATCAAAGTTTTCTTAGTATTACAAATTAGAGTGCTAACTAATAGAATTTGTTACCAAATCAAATATGAGAATATAATGTCATAAACTTTATTCCAAAACCTTCAGTTAGCGATAGAGCACTCGAAAAAGAAAACTCACTAAATGCAGCATAGCCTCAAGCTCCTCCGGATCCTGGAGTCATCGTGCGCCTCGCCGGATGACACAACGGGGCCGAGACGGCGCATATTACCAGAGGAGGGGGAGTGCCAGGTGAAAACATTAGATTGATGGGCGTCGTCATTGTCTGACATTTGAAACCCTAACTTTGTCCCTAATTTTTTTCCTTTCTTATGTACAGGAATGCTCTGGCCCGAATTTTCCTAATTGCAAGACAAAGAGACAGAAAGAGGAAAAGATCTAAGTCATGGAGAGAGACGGATGAGTCAAAAGGGATTTATTCAGGGATTGACGAGAGAATTCAATGATAGTAAGTGAGTAGGATGCCAAGGGATTTATTGTGACGCCCCAGGGTTTACATAAGGCTGCAGTCCCAGGTGAAACTCGGATTGTCAAACCTGCCAAGCACCAACCACCATGCTAAGACATGTTTCACCATCACAATCACTATCTCTCTAGTGGAAAAAATAAATAGGTGAGGGTACAGACACGCAAAAATAGAAATAGGCAACATTGGATATACACAGAAGAAGCATAAGAAATATCAAATATGAGCCCAACAGAAATAGAATAGAAATGTCTCTGAGTATAAACTGGATCTCAAATACAATGAGTCAAATAAACAAAGTCTCACAAAAGCCCTCAACTCTAAACTAAAACACAAATCTAGAATCTGAAAATAATCAACCACATGTGGAGTTCTGCAATAACTATAAGGTATAATAAGTAGCTAAATAGACAACTAAGAAGTTTCATCAACCTACGACTCTTCGTGCGCCGGACTCGCTGCCTGAAAGAGGGAAAACAACGAGCGTCAAAGCACTAGCGAGGTCATCACTACCTCTCCCCAGGGGAAGGGGTAGGAGTATATAAGAAAATAGAGTCAGTACTTACATATACCAAATTATTCATATAGCTCTCTATGAAAAACAAATAGTTAAGGAAACATACTCAAATCTACAACATAAAGAATAAATACATCATCTCGAATTACATCCGAGTAGCCTGCTCTAATATAAGAGGATGTCAATCAAACCAAAACGAATATAACTACTGTTCATAACGGGTGTGCCAAAATCTCAAAGAAATACCCTACTCGTGGGTAATCTATCATGGAAATAAAACTTACAACTGATCAAATACCTATGTGTGCATCATCTTGTGCAACAGCGATACTCTTGTAGTATTCTTACACAATCGCTTTGCGGCAATAGGGTTTATCATCTCCCTATTGCAGATACATGTAATAACGATACTATTGTAATACTCCAATCTTCTCTCCACTCCAAAAGCCAAAAACCGAGAAAAATCCCGCTCGAAAGCCTCCAATCTTCTCTAAGAAATCAAACTAGGGTTTGAGGGTTTTGGTGGCTGTTAGGGTTCTTAGGAAAACTGAGAAAAATGTGAAAAACTCATATATATATCAGGGAAAACGAATATGGGTTTAGAAATCTGAAACCAACTCAAAACAGGTTAAAAACTCTCTGCAGGTTTCGCGGTCGACCGTGATGGTCAACCGGGCTACGGTCGACCACGGCGGTCGATCGGACTGGGATTTACTATTTTTTCATGAGTTTGGCCAATGTGCATGTTTCGACTCTTTTCTATCTCATGTATGAACTCGTTCGTACTCAAAACACATGGTATTATACTCATATACCATTTAATGATATTTATCATACTAAATATCCATATATCATAATTAATCTCATATTAATATATCATTCAAAAATTATCGGGGTTTTACATTCACCCCCCTTAAGAGGATTTCGTCCTCGAAATTCCGCAGTCGCATCACAAAGCTTAATAACTAGGAAAACACATTAATAAGGTGTATTTCATACAAAGAAAACCTTCTGCACATATCTCATAGAATTAGCACAATGATATTTAAGGTTAACAACTTAGAATGCAAACATTCTCAACTAAATCCCTAACTAAACGAAATTGGTACGTCGAGCGAAATAATCCAAACAAGGAAACCCTCATGTATATACCATATGTTTCAAATGATTAAGGATCAGGCTATAATATCCTCATTCTAGTGTTAAAGATAAATATAAATGTGACTAAACAACATAGATAATGACAACTATCAAAGCATCAATATCATACCTATCCAAACAGGTGCGGGTAGTCACGACGAACATCCTCCTCGTGCTCCCAAGAAATCTCTTCGGCTCCTTGCCGGTTCCACTGAACTTTCACTAATGGAATGACTTTATTCCTAAGCTTTTTATTCTCTCTATCAAGTATGCATACCGAAATCTCGACGGTAGTCAAGTCATTCTGAATCTCAATCTCTGGTGAATCAATCACTCTCTGCTGCTCATCATCTCGCAGATGCTTTTTAAGCATCGAAATATGAAAAACATCGTGTACACTCGACATCGATGCTGGCAGGTCTAACCTGTAAGAAAGAGCTCCAATATGCTCGATGATCCTGAAAGGACCAACATATCTCGGGGCAAGCTTCCCTCGTCTACCAAAACGCTGAACGCCCTTCATCAGTGATACCTTCAACATAACTAAGTCTCCGACCTGAAACTCTAAAGGTCGTCTCCGCTGATCTGCATAGCTCTTCTGCCGACTCTGCGCTGTAAGAATGCGCTCTCGAATCAATGCCACCTTCTCTGTGGTCTATCTAACGAGCTCCGGATCAATCAATAAACTATCCTCGGGTTTTGCCCAACATATGGGTGATCTACAAGGTCTCCCGTACAAAGCTTCATATGATGCTATCCCGATGGTAGTTTGATAACTATTATTATATGTAAATTCAATTAGTGGGATGTGATCCTCCTAGCTACCCTGAAAATCCATAATGCATGCTTTCAGCATGTCCTCTAAGATCTGATTCACCCTCTCGGTCTGACCATCTGTCTAGGGGTGAAAAAACACTGCTAAATAACAACTAACTGCCAAAAACATCCTGGAAACTCTTCCAAAAATGAGATGTGAAGACTAAGCCCCAATCTGATACAATCGTCTTCGGAACTCCATGTAATCTAACAATCTCCCGAATGAAGATCCTCACATACATATCTGTTGTATAAGTCATCCTCACAGGTAAGACATGTACGGACTTAGTCAATCTGTCCACTATAATCCAAATAGAATCATTTCCTTTCTTTGATTTAGGCAACCCCACAATTAAATCCATGGAAATATCTGCCCACTTCCACTCGGGAATGGGTAAAGGTTGTAGGGTTCCTGCAGGTCTCTGATGTTTTTCCTTGATCTGCTAACATTTAAAACACTTAACCACATACTCTGAAATCTCTCTGCGCATACCGCTCCACCAAAAATACCTTTTCAGATCATTGTACATTTTTTGCCGTGCCTGGGTGCACTATATATCTGCTGCGATGAGCCTCGTCAAAAAGTTCCCTCTTTGGCTGTAGATTGTTCGGCATAACCATTCTGCCCTTCATCCGAAGGCCTCCATCTATCCCTATAGTCTAATCATCTTTAGACTCTTTGGAAATCTCCCCCTTACGGGTTTGAATCCAAGAATCCTCTATCTGAGCTTAGACCACTCTATCTCTCCAAGATGGCTGTACAGATAAAACTCCTAAGAACACACGGCTCCCGCCAATCCCTGGCTTGAAATCAAAATGGCTAAGGGTATTAAGATCCCGATGTAGTGAACACCTCAAAGCAGCTAGTTCACGACGACGCTTCCTGCTTAATGCATCTGCTACCACATTCGCCTTTTCCGGATGGTACTGAATAGCAAATTCATAATCCTTAATAAATTTTATCCATCGATGCTGCCTCTGATTGAGTTCTTTCTGTGAAAATAGGTATTTTAAACTCTGGTGATCCATGAATAGCTCAAATTGTACTTCGTACAAGTAATGTCTCAACGCCTTCAGTGCAAATACCACTGCTGCTAGCTCCAAGTCATGCGTGGAGTAGTTCTTCTCATGAGTCCTCAACTGCCTCAAACATAAGCTACAACTCTCTGGGTTTGCATCAATACACCTCTAAGACCCAATAAGGATGCATCAGTGTAGACAACAAAAGTCTTATCACTCCTAGGAATAACCAAAACTAGTGCTGAAGTCAACTTAGTCTTCAAAGTCTCAAATGCCTTCTGGCACTCTATACTCCAAACAAACTGTACACCCTTCTTAGTAAGGTGTGTAAGAGGTGTGGCAATCCTCGAGAAGTCCTGAATGAATTTTCTATAATAGCCTGTCAGGCCTAAGAAGCTACGAATCTCGGTAACTATCTTCGGCGGTTCCCAATTAAGTACGGCGTCTACCTTAGCCGGATCTACTGCAATGCCCTCCCGGCTGATGACATGGCCCAAAAATCTAACATCTGATAACCAGAATTCACACTTGCTAAATTTAGCATACAACTGGTGCTTTCTCAATACTTGCAATGCTAACCTCAAATGCTGCTCGTGCTCGGCCTCCGACCTCGAATAGATAAGAATATCATCGATGAAAACTATCACGAACTGGTCCAAATAAGGGCGAAAGACCCGATTTATTAAATC